GATTCTCTGAATCATGTGAAAGCATTTGAAATCAGTGCACCACTGGTTGAGCAGTTGATGAAGTGAGTTTGGGAATGAATTAGTATTTTATAATCATTATAATTTAGATTCCTGAATTAAGAATCTATGCTGAATTTGTAGATAATTGATGAAAAAATTAGTGATCTTTAAAAAATATTAACTTCAACATTGATGATTATATGGATATTTATGGAATGGTAATATACATCCCTTGTTAACCTTCAGTGAATCGGTGGAGGAATTCGGTGACCTGTACTTAGATATAGCTGAAGCCTACATGGATGTTGATTTCCATGAAGCTGCCCTTCAGTTGTTGCGTCCACTCATCAACTCAGATCACTATAATGTTGCTGCTGTTTGGCTCCAGTATGGGGAGAGTTTGGCAGCTGTCGACCAGATGGAAGAAGCTGCTGAGGCATACAATAAGGTTAATAAATAAGAATTTTCTTCTACTAGTAGTATGGTATGATATGTATCTATATAACATGCTTTGAATGGATATGCAATAGCATAATATATTTGATACACATTTCTTGCAATTAAAAGAAAACTAGATGGGACTTCAAGGTTTGCAGATATTTTCTGCTAGCAAGGGAAATTTTCCATTTCTTGCATATATATTATACTAAAACAATTTTTTTGTTAAAACTTTTTGGTTATTAGTTACTGAAGTTTAATAAATTATTATAGTTTTGATGCATGCACACAATTAGTTATGGCAATTGAACTGTAAAGGAAATACTCAGAGACCATTCACTTTATTCTCCCATTGCAGGTGGTGAGACTGGCACCGCAGCATGCTGAAGCCCGTCTGACTCTCTCATCCATCCTGCAGTCGCTTGGCCGCCTGGATGAAGCTCTCCTCATTCTGAACCAAGAGAGTGACTTTGAGCCTTTAGACTCACAGCTCCTCTTCCAGCGATGCAAGATCCTGCTGGATCAGAACCTTGTTGATGAATTTATTAATGCTGCTAAGTTGCTGTTCAGGAGGCATTTTATTCACATTAGGTGAACTTCAATTTTTTTTTCGTAAATGTATTGCCGAAAGTCAGTGTGTGAATGTATGAATGACGCTATGTAGCTGCCCATCATTTACTTTATGTGTATGTATGTTAATGTAAGTATTTAAGAATGCACAGGCTTGCACAATCTGTGAGTGCTTCTTCCCCCTGAATTTCAGTGTTGGTTAAATTCATTTAAAAATCTATGGTGTGGCCAGTGTTCTGGAACTAATAATGAATCTTTTTTTTTTGAACATTGACAACTGTAAATAGAAAATAGATGGCAGGAGGATAAATCTGCCTGGCAATTTGCCTGGAATATAATTATTTTATGATATTTTTAATTCAAAATACAATTTGCTGGATGTTTTTGCACCTTTCTCAAAGCTTTTATATTAATCTTTAAAAAATCAAGTAAGACCTGATTTGTCTTTGTCACAGACCAAAAAACAAAACTGATCTGATGGTTAAGTATATTTCAAACTAAGCAAAAAGTAATTAGACCAATTGCATGTTTCTTCATCAGATGTAATAAATGTAGCAATTGAACTCTCTTGACAGAAATCGAGATGAGGCTGAAGCCATGATCAGCAACAAGAAGCTGAGCAACAAATATGAAGCCATCCGAGAACTCCGGCGTTCCAAAAATGAGAGTCTGGAAGACAATGGACCAGCTTACACAGGGCCAGATGTGTCTATAGAAGATCAGTGGGAACTCTTTACCAGTGTGTGTAATATCCTTCATGAAAAGAAGAGGTAAGGAAGTTTGTTTTTTCATTGTGACCTACATAAAGGTCTTTTGTGATTATTTATGGTCTTTGCTGATTATTATTTTATTTTTTCTGTCAGTGTAGGCATCTAGTATAATTTTGCAAGGAAAAAAAGGTGCTAAGAATGCTCTCTTCACTGTTTTGTGCAGGTTTGAAGAACTAGAAAGAATGACTTTCACAGCCCTTGGGTCTAAAGAATTCATGAAGGACAAGGAACGTGCAAGAGAGGTCGAGTTCATGTGTCTCTTAGCCTGTATCTACAATGAAAGCTCCTACTTTGCCTACAACATTATGAGGGAGCTTGTGATCAAGAATCCTGAGAATGAGAGATGCTGGAACCTACTCAACCTCATCATCTCCAAAGCGGACGACTTTCGCCACAACCGTTTCCTGCTACGCCTGACCCATAAACACCCAGACCTAGTAGCCCTCGGATTGCTTAACGGCCACAACTGTTTGGTGGCTGGTACCTACAAATATTCCCTAGCAGAGTACACGGGTGCCTTCAAGCAAGACCCAAGCAATCCCCTCATTCCACTCATGCTTGGACTAACCTTCACCCACATGGCCTGCCAGAAATTCAGTGGGAAGAAGCACTCACTGGTTGTGCAGGCCTGTGCATTCTTAAATACGTATGTTGAGATGCGCGGAGAGTGTCAGGAATCGATGTACAACTTGGGACGAGCCATGCACCAGCTGAATCTTCTCCCACAGGCTATCCACTACTACAAACAAGCCCTTAATTGCCAGCCTGTTGAATCATTGGAAGGAGGCCCTATGTTAGACCTCTCAAGGGAAATTGCATTCAATCTTGCATTGATATATCAGAACAGTGGCTCTCCAGATTTGGCAAGAATGTATATGTATAAGTACATACAAATTTAGTTTAGGAAAAGAGTGCACATATGTTGCAATAAACATATTCATTCCTCTTTTTGGGAGAAGGAAATTTAGAATTCTTGGGACCAATAAGGCAAAACAGTCAGCTGGGGATTAGGATATATGTAGAAAATGACTCATGGTCTCATATTTGAATAGGTTGTATATGTCATCACAGGGAAACTTAGATTTCAGTATATAGAGAGAAATTGATAATTTTAGCCAAAGATATTTATTAATTATCAAGAGAAAAATGTGTGTAATTAATAATGAATATTTATTTTACAATTAAGTTGTATATATATAGAAGACTATCTGGATTAATGTTGCTCCTAGGAGAGAGTGAGTGTGAGTGTGAGTGTGAGTGTGAGTGTGAGTGTGAGTGTGAGTGTGAGTGTGAGTGTGAGTGTGAGTGTGAGTGTGAGTGTGAGTGTGAGTGTGAGTGTGAGTGTGAG